AAAAAAAAAAAAGAAGAAGTAAAAGTAAAAGGTACCTAACATTCCGTAAGAGGTGCCCAATAACTGTCAGTCAGTAGAAGAATGTGCATCTCCTGCCCTCCGTGGGTCTGTTAGACTCTCCCTCAACTTCCATCAGTGTAAGGTGGCAAATTTGTCTAGCCAAGGTACAGTAGGGACCGTATGTTTGAACTACAAGGGGTGACCAGATGGCAGGATGTGTACAGTGGAGCAGGTGGTTTCCTTGCCAGCTGTGGCCACCAGGGGGAACTCCAGCCCTAGAGATGGCCAAGCCACGTTATCTAGCACATCCTCTCCATTATCCAGGATGTCTCTGTTTCTTGGCACTGAGTAGCAAATTAGGACAAAAGGTGACAGCTTTGGGTGCAGTCAGTCAGACTGCCCTGGGGTAGACACCTTGGCTGGAGGACAACTCTTAGGACTGAGGCCTGGATTGTACTCTGACTTTACCAGCCATGACCTTGGGCAAGGCATTTCCTTCTCTGGCCCAGTTCACAGGGTTGGAACCTACTCCAAGGTCCTTTCTGGCACCGATGCCGTGTGGTTCTAGGATGTGAGGATGAGGACAGCTCCCTTCTCCGCTTCAGGGCTGCATACACTCTGGCTGGCAGCCTTTTCCCTGGGGCAGTGAATGGTCAGAGAAGCTACATGCTTCAGCCCCCTAATTCTAAAGCCCTGGGGACTGTGCTGTTGGGGTACTGCTCGAAGGGTAGAAGGGTAGTGCTCAAGGAGGTGAAAGGGCAAGGTCAGGTGAGCCGAGAGCCTCCGAGGTCTTGCTTCATTCAGGACAGACATCCGGCTTCCTCTGGCCTCTCCCGGACTCTGGGGGCTTAAAGGAATGAGTCATAGGGGGGATAGAGGGGAGTTTCCAGCTAATCAGCTTGGGCAGGACAGCCTGGAACTTGGGATAGTGTCTATCCAAGTGTGTGTGTGTGGTGGAGGGACAAGAGGCAAGACCCCTTTGTCCCTGTCTCAGGCTTGAGTACCCCAGGAGGTGACCTAAGAAGGCGGCCTCCCCAATCCTGGGGAGGTTAGATATGGGGCAACTAGCTTTTTCCCTTCTCTGTTAGAATCTGGGGGCCTGGGGTGCAGGTAGCTTGAGACTCCCAGCGGAAAGGGCAAAGGAAGCTGCCCCAGCATTTGCCAAAAAAGGGAGGGTCGTTTGGAGGCCACCTCTCCTCATCAGCCTGACAATCTTCCAGCCTGTGCTTCTCTCAAAAGACTCAGCCTTTACAGGGGTACTATTCAAACACCCTGGGGCAACTCAGGCCTGGGCGGGGCAGGAGGGGAGGAAGAAAGTATGAGGGGGACAAGACGTCAAAGAAGGATCAGAGATTCCACAATTTCACAAAACTTTCGCAAACAGCCTTTTGTTCCAACCCCATGGCATTGTCCTGGACTCCAAATTTGCATAAATCTTGGGAAGTTATTACTAAGCAGCCTCAGGTAATTTCCTCCCAGACCTCCTAGGGGTTATGTATAAAGGCCCTCTAGATCTAGGCCCCAACAGAGCCCAGAGGCTGTGGCCCAGACCCATCCAGACCCATGGCTAAACCTGCTGTCCAAAGCCCCGTTAGGCTGATGGGTGAGTGTGTTGGCCCAGGACCAGAGCGCTGCCTGCCCCAGGCGTGGGAGGGAGGCCAGAGTGGCAGAGGGGCTGGGGATATCCCTTCTGGGAATGGGGGCTAGGACACACAGTGTCCCCAGAGAGGGCCCCAAGTAGGAGTGGACAGCATGTTTCCTGAGCCCAGTCTGTCCCCAGCCCTACAGCTGCTGCTCTGGCACAGTGCACTCTGGACGGTGCAGGAAGCCAGTCCCCTGGGCCCTGCCAGTTCCCTGCCCCAGGGCTTTCTGCTCAAGTGCTTAGAGCAAGTGAGGAAGATCCAGAATGAAGGTGCGGCCCTGCAGGAGAATCTGGTGAGTGAGGGAGGGTGGGCCAGGGTGTAGGGGGAAGGAGACCCAGGGGACAGCTGAAGGGGGGAGGAAAGGGAAAAGGGTAAGGGGGAGGAAACTCTGTAGGTGTCCTTGGGAAGGGACATAGGAGAAGGAGACACATAGGGGACATGGAGAAAATTAGGAAAGGTGGTGGTACAGCAGGCTGGGAAGGGACTTAGTGTTGCTGGGTAGGGTGGGGCTGCTCCCCATGGCAGGACCAGCATGGAGGGGAAGGCCTGGAGAGGAGGAGCCGCAGTCTGGCTGGGCAGTTCTCACTTGGCACCCTTCTGTCCCCAGTGTGCCACCTACAAGCTGTGCCACCCTGAGGAGCTGGTGCTGCTGGGGCACTCTCTGGGCATCCCCCGGACAACCCTGAATGGCTGCCCCAGCCAGGACCTGCAGCTGGTGAGTGTCAGGAGGGAAGGAGGGTGATAGGACAGGAAAGAGAGAAGTGTCCCAGGCAGCACCCCTCACTCTCCTGCTCTGTGTCCCCAGACCAGCTGCTTGAGCCAACTCCACAGAGGCCTCTTCCTCTACCAGGGCCTCCTGCAGGCCCTGGCTGGGATATCCCCTGAGTTGGCCCCCACCTTGGACATGCTGCAACTGGACGTTGCTGACCTTGCCACCACCATCTGGCAGCAGGTGAGCCTTGTTGGGAGAGGCAAACATTAGGGCCAGATGGAGCTAGTCCCGGAGGTCACACTGGCCTGCCCAGAAGTCTTTAGAGTTGGGGCAGGAGCATTCTCGGGGCCTGTACAGGGGGAGACACCACTCCCTCCCTGAACCCTCCCTCTGATGGCCTTCCTCCATTCCCCTAGCTAGAGCATGGGACCTTGACAGACCTGGGTTCCAGTCCTGGCTTGCCGTTACCTAGTGACCCTTTACTGACGGGCAGCATGTCAACATTTCCTCCTTTGAAGCAATGCCGCCCACTCAGCGGCCTGATCACTGATCTCATTTTTCCCCCACAGATGGAAGACCTGGGAGTGGCCCCTGCCCTGCAGCCCACCCAGGGCGCCATGCCCACTTTCACCTCTGCCTTCCAGCGCCGAGCAGGAGGTATCCTGGTCACCTCCCATCTGCAGAGCTTCCTAGAACTGGCATACCGTGTGCTCCGCTACCTCGCCCAGCCCTGAGCAAGCCCTTCACATCCTGTATATTTATCTCTATTTAATATTTATGCCTATTTAATGCTATATTTAAAGGCAGGGAAGAGAACGGAGCCCCAGACTTCTGGGTCCTTCCCTCCATCTCCTGCTGTAGCAGTGAGAACAGCTCCTGTCCTCCTGTCCCCTGGACTAGGAGGTGGATAGGTAAATACCAAGTATTTAACTCCTGTCACTGCTCCCTGGCCCTGGTCGTGGGGAGCACTGGGGAGAATCACAGTGAGTCCTCCTCCTAGGGTACCCACCATGGGGCCTTGGGAGGATCAGAAGGTCTCCCACATTGGAGACCAGACATCCCTGTTTAATATTTAAACAGCAGTGTTCCCCAACTGGGTCCTCCCACCCTCACTTTGGTCTCTGCTGTCTGTGTCAGACCCTGTGTCTCTTGGGTGTCAAGTCCCTGGACTAATAAGGGCAGCAGCAGGGGGTGTTGGCCTTGGGGTCCCACGAATTTGCTGGGGAATCTAGTTTGTCTTAAGATTTGGGGGGCATGTTTTGACTCCTAGCATGAGGAGTACAAGCATCATGGACATTTCTCCCGTTTTTCTGGGTAGTCTTTCCAAGTGCCCTCAGGATGCCCACGCTGCCCCACCAGGATCGGACTCCTGACTCTTTAAGGCTGGGCTCCTGCCTCACTGGGCTGGGACTGGGGATGTGGGAGGGAATGTGTCAAGTGTGTGTGAGAGGCAGCTTGACTATTAACCCTCCACCACTGATCCCACTTTCTCATTGTAACCAAACTTCGGAATAATAAAGTGTTTGTCCAGCAAACGTCCTTCCGCCTTCTCGAGTCTAGCTGGTGCCTGGCCAGGGGCTGGGGAGGTGCCTGAATGGTAGGAGAAGCCAGAGGGAAGGAGGTGCGGGGAGAAGGCAGGGGTGTTCTTGACCGTAACAAACTTCATACCTCTACTATGTGTTTATCTGAGCACCTAGTCTGTGCAGACTCTGGGCAAAGTGCTAGGGACACAGCAGTGAAGAAGGCAGACACAGTCCCCTCCTTGTACAGCCACAGACTGCACATGGACCCTGGGTGCTAGAGAGGAGCTGGCATGGGGCTAGGGGTGCACATTGCAGGCCACACACAGCCAGACAGGGCAGACGTGAGGGAGTGTAGAACATCTGCACAGGGCTTATCAGTTTGCCATCTTCCATGAACTTGTGGCCATCCATAACATCACCCGCAATCACAGAGGAAGCCAAGCTCAGGGTAACCACTAGGTCAGAAAGTCTCATCAGGCTTAGTCTCTGCTCTCACCCCAGCTGGCTACTTCCTGATTGCTGCAGCCTTGTGGTGCAAGAGGACTGAAGGGGCCAGGAGGATGAGGAGCTGCAGTGAGCAGGGGGCTCTGAGGAGCCCTTCCAGCCCTGCAGCTGAGACTGCCATGTGGCTCTAGGGTGCCCCCTGCCAAGCCCACCATCCATGTCTAAGCCTTCCCCATCCTGAGTTCCTCAGCCACACCTCCCCTCCCCACATGGCTCCTTAAAAAGCAGGTCAGAGGCTCAGCGCCCCGTAGCACAGTGGTTACAGTGCCAGCCACATACACCAAGGGTGGCAGGTTCGAACCAGCCCAGGCCAGCTAAACAACGACAATAGCAACAAAAAATAGCCAGGCGGGCCGGCATCTGTGGTTCAAGGAGTAGGGCGCCGGCCCCATATACCGGGGGTGGCGGGTTCAAACCTGGCTCTGGCCAAAATTGGAAAAAAAAAAATAGCCAGGCATTGTGATGGGCACCTGTAGTCCCAGCTACTTGGGAGGCAAGAGAATCACCTAAGCCCAAGAGTTGGAGGCTGCTGTGAGCTGTGACGCCAAGGCACTTTACCTAGGGTGACAGCTTGAGACTCTGTTTCAAAAAAAAAAAGCAGGTCAGAGGTACTCACTGCAGGGCTCAGAGTCCTGGGGCCCAGGGTCCTCCAGCTCAGGGCTTGGAGGTTAGTGTAGCAGGCTAGGATGGGTCATGTCATGTTCCTGCCATACATCCCTCAGTTCCTTTTCTGGCCAGATCAAACTCTTGGCCATCCAGACTGGGTGGGGTTAGGCCAGGTTGAGGAACAGGAGGAGAGCAGGATACCTCCCCCAACACCTGCTGGCCAGCAGCCAAACCCCCTCCCTCTTCAGGGTACCACTAGCTTTAGGGGAGGGCGCCCAAGCAGTGCTGACTAAGGAAGGGAAGTGGGTCTCATCCCATGTCCAGGCTGAGAGAACATGGCAGCCTGTGCCCTGCCCCCTGCTGCTGTTGCTGCTCCTCTTCCCCCAAACCCACAGGACTGAGCCTCTCCCTGGCCACAGCATGAGGAAGTCGAGGGAGAAGATGATGTTCCCCGCCCCAGTTGGCACAGACACCGCGCTCACACAGTCACAAAGGATCCATGGGATCTTTATTTACAAGTGAACAGGGGCAGACTTCCCCCTGGGTATTACAAAAATAAATACACACACGTACTATGCATCTACAAAGTTCCTCAGAGGTAAACCTATGCCTGGAACAGGGGAGGTGCCCACAGGGTGACCGCGGGGAACCAGGCTGCTCCCACTCCAGGTACTAGGGAAAGGGAGAGGGAATTACGAAAGAAGAGACTGCAAACCATCCTGGAGGTCAGGAGTCAGGAGCAGGAGAAGAGTCTGTAAACTGATGAAGGGCTCTTACATCATGTGGATGTGAGCAATGATGGCTCATCTGTCCTCAGTGCTCCCTTCAGAGGCACCTGTGGCCAGGCCCTCCCTGGCCACCCCTCAGAGTGCGGCAATGGCCTTGGCAGCCACCTGGCGGCCCAGGGGCAGGCTGAGGTCCGTGATGGCCAGGACCACCTTGGGGCTGGACATGGCAGACACCTTCACTAATTCCGACACCTGCCACAGATAGACAGACAGCTGCTCATGGGGCACCTCCCAGGGGATGTGCTAGCCGGGGAGGAGGGAGGCCCCACCATGGGCACTCACAGTGGTGAAGGGCATGAACTGCAGGATGCTGCCTCGGCTGCCCTGCTCCAGGCAGTCCACACACTCCTCCATGAACCACTGCACAAACTGCGTGTGCGGGCCGGCCGTGCGGGAGCCCAGGATGGAGGAGATGAGCAGGAACAGGTTGGCTGTGCAGAACAGGGGGAGAGGAAGAGGAGGGTCCCATGAAAAGGTGCGAGAAGAGGTCAGGCTCTGGGGGAAGATGGGACTGAAAAGGGTAAAGAGAGGAACACTGGAGTGTCCCAGAAATGGGGTATGGAAGGGAGGAGGTATAAGGGGAGAGCTGGGAAGGAGGGGGAGGGATACACGGGAGCCGGGAGAGCTCGAGATGAGGAGGCCAGGGGTGGGGAAGTGCAGCATGGGAGCTGAGGGGCATCAGGGGGACCCTCACCAGCCAACAAGGTCCCCAGGGCTCCCATGAGGGAAGGGGACTCTCTCCAGTGTATCCCTAGTGAAGCAGCAGGGGTAGGGGACTCACCCAGGACTCGGTTCAGAGGGTCCCTCATGTTGACCGTGTGGAGCTGCGAGGCCGAGAAGGAGCTGCTCATGGAGCGGTCAGCTACAGGGTGGAGCACAGAGAGTGCTAAGGGACCTGCCTGCCACACCCTGTCCTTCACCCATCGGGGCTAACTGGTTCATGGAGGCCCACGGAAGATCCTTATGTCTAGAGTACTAAAGGGGAGCTGGGCGCCATGGCTCACACCTGTAGTCCCAGCACTCTGGGAGGCCAAGGCGGGTGGATTGCTTAAGCTCAGGAATTCAAGACCAGCCTGAGCAAGAGCAAGACCCCATCTCTACTAAAAATGGAAAAACTGGCCGGGCATTATAGCAGGCACCTGTAGTCCCAGCTATTTGGCAGGCTGAGGCAAGAGGATCTCTTAAGCCCAAGATTTAAGGTTGCTGTGAGCTATGATGACACCATGGCACTCTACTGAGGGCGACAAAAGACTATCTCAGAAAAAAAAAAGAGCACTGAGGGACCTGGAGTAGAAAGTGATCCCACTGGCAATGAAAGGGAAGAGCCAACACTTGGCAAGCATGACACGGGCCGATCTTGCTGCTCCACATGGACTAAGATCCATAACCCTCACAGCAGTTCATTTTACAGATGAGGAAACTGACACTCAGACTTGCTAAGTAACTAGCTAAAAGTTACAGTGCTTATAGGTGGTAGATTCAGTATTTTTCTTCTGCTCAAGCATGTAGTTTTCTCTTTGGTCCCTAAAAGCCTTTAGATAAATTTCTAGGCTAAGGAGAAATCTGTGGAAACAGAAAAAATTAAATGCCACAGAAGAAGCCCGCAGCAGGAAGTCTGGCAAGGAGGAGGGGAGTGCACTTCAGGCAGGAAGAGCAGGGCTAGCCCCAAGTCCCAGCCCAGGCTTCTCAGGACATGTCTCCAGCAAGGAAGAAAGGTCACAGCTGGTGAGTCAATGGCACAGGCTGTGCCCAAGGCAGTAAACTCATTGGGGTGGCTTGTCAACCCATTAACCCTGTGGGAAGGAAGGGGACGGGGAGAGGCAACTGGGCTGGGCTGGAACCTGAGCAGAGGAGAGGAGCCAATGGGCACAGAACACCACAAGCCCTCCCATCCTCCCATACCCTCTCTGACCAGCACAGATGCCCACTGGGCCCAGGCAGAGCAGACCTAGGGAGGGTGAGTTGCCAGGAGAGGAAGCAGCCCACCGGCCCTGTCCACACTCACTAGGACTCGAAAGGACATTGGTGTCATCCTCATTGGAGCTTAGCAGTCGCATCAGCTTTGATGGCTGCATGTCATCCAAGGGGAAGAGGCTGATATAATCCTGGAGGGCAAGAGAGTCATTATTACACATCTCTGATTCCCCAAATTTCCAGTCACCAGAGGAAGGGAGAGAGGACTGGAGCTCAGGTTTGAGGGAGAAAGAATCACTCCCTCCATAGTCCATTGCTGGGCAAGAGCACTTGACAGGACCCTCTCACCAAGCGCAGTCTAGGGGCCACACAGTCACTCCTCTAGACCTCTGGCACAACTG